GTAGTTCCGACACGTTTCTGTATTATGTCGAGAACTTCTCTTCCAAGCAATTTAAGATTATCTGTTGTTTACAAAGTTTGGCCACATTAATGATAAATGACAGAAGATCTTCGGATCAAGCTTTAATCAATAAATTAGAATATTACCTATTTCCTGTCCTTTGATGGTCTCATCGTTCACAAATCGATAGATGGGTGATATTGAAAGGGATATATACTGTTCCGATTCTTCGGGCGGCATGAATGTTATCATCGCAGCAATCCACTGATATATGCTCTTGCGCTATTTGAAAGTAATAAATCAGCATTAATAAATTAATAAAGAAAAAAAAAAAAAGGTATTAATCATAATACTCACCTGATGATCGACATCATCTTTTTTTATGGAAGCAAATCTTGCTTGATATGATAATTTCTTGAATAACCAATGTAAAGATTTCCTTGAATTATTTGAACTTTCAACTTTAAGATCCCTAGTAAACTGTTGTTCATCCGCATCCGGCACGTCATTTATATTATTATCTTCGACCATTGAGTCCGGTGACTCTTTGTCATCTTCTTTGCCGTCTTCCTTATCGTCTTGAAAATCTTTTGAAGTATCACCAATTTCATCCATGGTTTTAACATCACCAATATCTTTGTCCGGTAACATATAATAAAAACATTTTCCTATAAAGAACAGGTTTTTGACAATTTGCATTGCAAGTTCCGGTCCCAATAGTTCACTTTTCAATTGAGTACAAAAGGATGATGAAAGTTTCCTTAAAATGTCTCTGGATAAATATTCGATCTTTGTATTAGATCCGGATGCAATCATCGTTTCCGGGTTGATTATAGCAAAGTACATTCCAAAGAGCCTACTAGCTGCCAACCTTACCCACGCATGGGGGTAAAGAATATGTTCTTCCACCAACAGCCAAATTTCTTTGATTTTTTCCATTTCTGAATAAATTATTGATGGGAATTTTTTTACGAGCTTGGTAAATGTATTTAATGAATAATAACCTAATTCCCAATCTGCATTATCCACGATATTATCGTGTTTGTCCTCATTGTCTGATGTTATAGTTTCAAGCTGTTCCAAAACTTGTTTACTTGATATCAATGCATTTCGTAAGACGTCCAGTAGTTCTGTAATATGTTTCTTGAACCTTTCTCCAAATGTTTCAATCACAAGACCATAGACCTGAACGGCCATTCTTTGCATACTCTTCTTTTCACTTTTATTGAACCATTTATCCAATAACAAATAGACATTTCTCAAACGCTGATCATCCATTCTCCGAAGCAAAATCTTGATCAGAGCTCCTGCCATCTCTCGACATTTGTTCGTTTCATCATTGACCAGTGACATTACCAAAGCCAAAAAAAGCATTTCAGCATATTCCATCAAGAGATCATCGCCAAATTTGTTAATTAGCAAGTTAATCATTTCCATCACAGATTGTCTTCCACTTTCGAAAACGTAATTTAGATTTTTGACCAAGAAATTCATTTGATTTTTAAGGCGCCCACGCCCTTGAGGGTAATTCAAAATAAATTGGAGTAAAATTTGCCTTGCAAGGTCGCGTGTTCCGGAAGATTGATTTGTAACCATTATTTCGGAGATAGACTGCATCAGATCGTAAAGTTCTGGAACCACAAATTTGCGCGAAACGATAGCTCTGATAAGAGAGAAAGTTGTGTTCTGACGACTTGGTTCTTCAAGGTCAGGTCGAATAAGATCAATGAGAAACGTCAATTGAGATTCCTTTAAATCTACTTGTTTACAATCACGAATGATTATTGCTAGTAATTTGAAGCAATTCTGAACCAACACCGAGTTCGTGGAGTTTGATGTTTTTATTAAGGAAAATGTTTGTTTCACAATAACGGGAAGGGCATTATCTAAGGGCTTTAAATTAAGCCTGCAGATGATGCACATAATCTTAATGGCAAGAACGTTAATCGCTAAATGTTGAGAATACATTGAATTTCCAATGATATCTACGAAAGGTGACAGCATATTGAGACCTTCTTCCGATTTTAGATCAAATTTTTCATGTTTGAGGGCAGTCAGAAATATTGTCAATCCAAATTGCACAAACAGATAAGAATTCGTCTCAAAGTAATCCGTGTGATCCGCGGTGTTACGCTTCAGCTGAACCGTATAGTTCATTTCCATGTTAGTTTTGTTGACTTTGTTCTTTGGCGTAGGTTTTGAAATATCCAAGTTCTGAGTGATCAACCCATTGCAAAATGTGATCATCTCTCTCGCCTGAAAGTGTGGATTTTCATCCAAGCCAATTGAAATTTTTTGCAAAATTTCATCAACCTTTTGCAGAACCTTTGCACTCTGCGTTTCCCTCATTATTTCTTTAAGCGGCATCAAAAGAAGTCCAATGTTTTTGAATTTTATAATTTTTGCAAGAAGTTGGAATGATCCAATGCTTTTATTGACTTTCATTTCCTTCATCTTGCCCGTAATCTCTTCGGTTTCTTTCTCCTCCCCAACTTCGCCAAATATATCATTTATCATAATATCAATGATCATTCGAAGACAATAATCAATCTCACCGACCTGTAAAGTTGGGACAAGGTTTGTCAAGAGTGAATTTAAGGTGTATCCAAGAATATGCAATTGATATCCTTGAGTTAAAGCACCCTGTAGCTCCTTGACAATAAACGAAAAGTATAAGGGACCAAGTAGATTGGATATTTTAATTAAAGTATCTCTAGTGGTCTCTCGAATTTCTTGACTACGACTTCTCAGAACTTGGCAAATTGTGGTCAGCATGCCAGGTAAATTGAAACGAAGTGATTCCTCCGGTAAAGCTTTCAGCAATTTCGTGATAGCCAATGCTACCGGCACTCGAACCGAGACATTTTCCTTATTATTTTGGGTTAGGTATTGTTTAAGTTCAGGAAGTAGATGGCGAACGACTGTATCATGAATTCTTTGAGCTTGTGATCTAGTAGATGTTTCATCGATTAGCATGTCCTTATTTAAATGATCCTCTCCGTTTACCAAGTTGTCGTCATCTGCACCGACATCCTCGTCAGCATTTTCAAAATCATCTTTTTGTTGGTCATTATCTAAATTTTCTTGACTCTGATCATTATGTGGATGGATAGCATCTAGCTTTTCAGTCAATGCACTTTGCTCAATACTGCAGTTTTCCACGTTCAAAACATCGAAATGGAAATTATCAAGAATCGTGATGATGGTCTTGACCAGAACTTTTTCCAAGGCTACTTTTCTTGGAATAAGTCTCATATACTGTTTCAGCAGAGAGTAGTATTGACCCCAATTAAGTTGAGCCGCAATGATTCCAATTGTTGAAACTGTTTCATTAATCAACGTATGGTCTACACGGTCTGCATCAGTTATAAAGTGTCCAATGAGTGGTAAAACTATTTGAACCAAACTAGATTTTTTCAATTTTCCTTCGGCGCATTCGTTAGAAAACCTTTTGAGTGCACGAATTCTGCGATGCAGTTGGATGTGGTGAATATTGTTGAAGAAGTTTGACTCATCATCATGGAATAACAAACAGGTCATATCAGAAAACTGATCTATCTTTGGACATTTTTTAACTACATAGGACAATATTGTAAGGAATTCAACACGAACAAGTTCCAACGATAATCTCATGCCTTTCTTAATCGCTGGGTATACCACATGTATCAAAAGATCCCGAAATTTTCCTTGATCATCATGGCCTTCGCACTCGACCTCAAATTCTATGACTCGATCGACAAACCGCGTGATACAAAATGATGAATTATTTCGAATAGAGAGCTCTTCATGATCCTGAATAAAGAACAGACAGTTATGAAGTAATGGCAACCATTGCAATGGGGTAAATTTCCTATAAGATTCCTGGTTGATACGATTAAATGCATTCAACCGTCGCTCAAAATCTAGTTCACCTAATAATTTGGTCGAGAATGAATTAAGATCATCGACGAGTTCCACAACTTCTTTAAGGGAATTATCCAGTTTCGAAAACTCTTCAAGCACTTGAACTAAAGATTTACGGCAATCACGAGAACGTAGAGTTGAAAACTCGCGAGATATGTAATTGAAATATTTCAAAAATAGTTTGCTACTGGGCAATAACTCTGGTATGATGCGCAAAAATTTGGCAACAATTTGTAAAATATTGGCCTTGGTTTTTTCTGAAATAATTCGGGAGTTTATTCTAAGACATGGTAAAAGTAGGTCTACCAATTTTTTTGCTTGCTCCTCGTTGTCAACATAGACAGCAATTTGAGAAAGGATAGATATTTCTCTTCTTGAAAATGCGTCTTTACCAAAGGAGGCACTCTTGCTTGATTGTGTTAAGACATTTTCCAAGTTGTCTAATAAAGTCGAAACATGAGGTTTCAGGACTGTCTCGATTAAACCTTTCTCCTCCATTTGAACATCCTCAGTATCAACTTCCATCTCATTTTCACATATATGTAAAATATTCTCCACAATATCCAAAACTTTCGTGACAACGGATTCTTGAACTTTCTTAGAAGAAATACAAGCGAACAATTTCGGAAGCAATTCCTTGTTATAGTCCACTAAATAGAGTAAATAATCTCTTTTGGAAGCCCACACGGCAAACAATTCCATTAACGCAGATGGAGCCTGCGTGTTTTCTGTATTAAATTTTGGAATTCGAATGGAAATAAATGATCTAAACATCTCTTTAATGTAAGGTTGATAATTGAATGAAAAAGGGATCTTGAAAAAGTCAACTATTCGTTTTAAACCAAGCTGCCTAATGGATTTCAATTGACGCCCGTGATCATAAACTTCCATTTCAACATCATTGTTGATTGCATCGAGAGCGTCTTCTTGACCAATTTCTTCAGTCAAATTTTTTTGACTACTGTGAATAATATACAAAACAACTTTGAACATATCAGGAACAAAGGGTAATAAAAAAGAACCTAGTTGTTTGAGGAAATCACCGAGAAAATTTAGATATCCAAGTTGTTTTCGACAGGACACAAATTTATTAATGTCCAAATTTGGTACGAGTCTGAATTCACTGTCGATTATGTCAATTTGTTTAAGAACAACTGAGAATGGTTCTAACAACAGATTGACGAGAAACCCTATCTCCGATTCTGAGCAATTTGCAATTGCCGACAGGACAGCAACTCTGCGAGCGACCATTCCGGTTTTCGAGGATTCTTTGCCCTTTCTTGCCATCATACGGCCGTATAAGATGCGTATGATAATAGGCATCAC